CCCTGGACACTCAGCAGTCTCAGTGCACAAATGTGAGATTTGCTAGGAAAAAAACCAAGATGCCTAATGGAAAGAAGGTAAACCCCTTTTTTGGGTTGGTTTTCATTTAAATATTTATGTGTTTTTGGAAAATAATATATTTTGTATCTCATTTTCTTCTTACTGACTTTGTGGAAAAATGCAATGAAAATGAAATGTATGCTTCAGCATTGTCAAATGAAACTCTATAACAAAATGTCCTTGTTTAACCTATAAACTCAATTATCCACAATTTTCATACTTTTTCTTTTTACCTTTTTGCAAGAGAAGCTGCCTCTGCAGAGCCTAATTTAAATATCAATCTTTCTAGCTTTCTTTTTGTGCCCACTAAATTTTGAGGAAGCCTTTGTGACTCCAATTGCTAGGAAGCAGAATGCCAGAGGGATTTTAATTGCATAGATATGATTCATTTAAGTTCAACCACGTCAATAGAATTTACACATCTAGAAGACAGCCAAGTGCCTAAGAACTTGTGCACCTCTGCCCTAAACTCATGGTAATAATTGCCATAGCAGAGTACACATTTTTACCAAACTAAACCCAGAAGTATTTGTTATTTAAATTTGAACTGGGAAAAAAAAAAAACAACAACCAACAAAACTATCCTTGACCAGCTGTTTAAAATAAATGAATTTTTGCTTTCAATTAGTGGTGGATAACTTTTATTAATCCCATACAAGATGTGTTACTTTATGTGCTTTGTAGATGTTATATTGATTGCACATGTGAAACAAACTTTGCCTCCCGAAATGGAATTGCAGTTTACACTCTATACTTCTTGATGATCAAACATCCTTATCAGCAACACAGGGACAGCAATGAACAGCTGGTAGCTTTTTGAGTAAGATAATTAGGCAAGACTAGCAAACATATTTAATGACATTTTTTTTAGTCTCAGTTCAATGACTAGAATAGTGATATGTTTTACTCTCCAAATGCATTATAACAAGCTGGAATGAATAAATTTGCTGAAGTTGCCATTAAATGCTTAACCAGAGATTTGCTTTTCCTGTTCTGCAAGTCTTTGCAATTTTAAAATGCCTACAAACTGGAACTTTTGGTAGTGTGAAAGACCTTTTTGTATTGTATTTCTATGCTTTTAGGATTATTTGATAGTCTGGAAGTAAAAAAGATAGCAACATCCTGGATTAGTAGGGATGATACTCTGAAGTTCTTTCCTTAAGTGGTATCTGCTTCTTTTACATTCTTAATACTAGAGTATCTGAAACTGCTTAATGATCCCTGTAAATAAATATAAGTAAGTCAAAACAAATAATATTGCCTGCTTAAATATGATAACCAGTTTTTTTCATGTATTTTGGAAGTCACACCCCAACTTGATTTTATAAATGTTTTAAACAGGTACAGGTACAATTCAATTGCATTGAAGTCGACGTAGCACAACACATCTATGTGACCATGAAAACAATACCAAATTACTGTGAAGTCAAGCTGAGTCAGGAATACTATGTTGAAGGTAGGAAAACATCTTAAACCAGACGTTTTTCAAGAAACATCCTCTCAAAAAAAATCCAAACAAAAAATTCCCAAATGCAAAGCCAAATCATAGTCTGGGATACACTGATCTCACTGATGGTAGATCATGTAAGTCAAGACCAGTATTATTCTACATGTCAATGATTAATTTTGTGCATATGAAAGTCTGACTTGCTGTAAAAAACAGAGACCTGAGTTTACATCTAGAAGTACGTGAAAAACTGAACTACACTGCATTTGTCCTAGTTGGCCTTCTTGTGATTGGCATGTGCTGTTCTCTGCCTGCAGGTTCAGTCCTGTGTGCCCTCTGTGCCCCCTGTGGAACCTCTGCTTCTTTTCATAGATAGGCCACAGGTGGTTTCCAATGTTGAGAAAAGCTTAATAAGGAAGTGTAAAGAAATTCCTTTTAATTTTCTTTAGCTATCTATTCCATTGCCTGTTTTCATATGAATGGATAAGGTGGCATTTTTCCATGTTTGTATATATGCATCTAAGAACAGATCCAACACTGTGGTCCAGCCAAGACACAGTGTGACTAGTGGAGACAAGTGCACCAAATGATGGTGCAAAAAAATGAAATTAGACCCCTTGTTTTGTCCCGTGCTCAGGCTTGTCTTGTCTTCTCATATCCAGAGCCTGGGGCAGCTTGGGTCTTGCCTTTGCCTCTTGGTACAGAATCATCCCTTGCACACATTATGGGACACATTGTGGCTCTTTCACACTTCAGTAGAACTAAAGCCTTCTTCTTTTTTTTTTTAATCCAAAAATCCTTTCGTTGTCTTGCTAAATCTCAATTCACTATTGCAGTAGATATGTACTTTCTAAATAAAGAGAGGGAAAACAACTTTACAAGAGTGAATAAACAAATGAAAATACAAAGTATTTCTCTGGGGTAAAGAACTACTAGAGGAAATGAGAGCAAAGTGCTGCTCTAATACTGAGTCAAGCAAGAAGAGGTGAAAAGGGTAAGCAGCACATGATGAGCTTATTTAGTGTTCTTATATCAAGATTTAGGTTTTATACAAACATCCATTCTGAAAGTATCATCTGGCCTCTAGTTCTGGTAAGCACCCTGGGAGCTTAATAGGATGTTTCCTTGTTTGCCTAGAGTCAGAATAGCAAAAAACCACAACTGTTATAACAGGGGGATCTGCCTGGTAAACAACAGCAGTAGCTTTCAAGGAAATAATAACATAAATTATGATTACTTTTATTGTTCTTACTTGAATTATTGTTAGGTACTATATAAAGGCATGTAGTGTTATATCCCAGATTACTGCCTTAAACTGCTGATGAGGTTTTTCAGTAGAAACCCCACACTGGTGAAATAGCTCCTTAAGGCAAACTGTGATATAATCTGTGTGGTAAGGACACTTTTCTTTTTTGCTGTTTATCTAGAAGTGAATATAAATCTGCCTTTACTGAGGGGTATAATAGAAAGGTGTCCTTTTGGGAAGCTATTGGATAACCTGGCAGTTAATTTACACAGTTACATGAGTAAAGTAGCACTGAAGGAAACTGTGTTTTATTTTACAGATTGCAGAAACAGTGATGTGGGAAAATATATTCCAGCTTGTTCGGGTGAGCTGATCTTCTGTATAACTTAAGGCTGTGAGATATTTCTGGTGATTTACACAATTACACGTTTTCATAGATTCTTTTCAGTAGTTCCCAGTGACAGGACAACAGGCAATTGGCACAAGCTGGAACATAGGAAACTCCATTTAAATATGAGAATAAACTTCTTTACTATGAGGGTAACAGAGCACTGGAACAGGCTGCCCAGGGGGGTTGTGGAGTCTCCTTCTCTGGAGATATTCAAGACCCACCTGGGTGCAGTCCTGACTAATGTGGTCTAGGCAGTCCCGCTTTAGCAGGGGAGTTGGACTAAATGGTCTCTAGAGCTTCCTTCCAACTCTGATAATGCTGTGATAGCTAAATAAGCAGAAGAAAAATGGTGATTTATAACTACTACTACTTATAATTGCCATGTAATTGATAGGTAATGTTGTGGAAAATGTGTTTCTATTGACTTGGGAATGTTAGGTAGCAGATAAAGATACCGACTACCTATTTGATATTTAAACTTTTGGAAATAGCTTTGTGTCCTTTTCATGTACTTTGGATTCCTGGTTTTACATTTTGTCCGTAAGCAGGCCTCATAAATAGATTGAAGTTAATTTGCCAAACTGCTATCCGGATTTTGGCACATCCATGAATATAAAAAACCTAAAAGATTAAAAGATTCCACCTCCTACTGTATTTGTCTAACACACATTACACGTCACTGTGTAATGAAATTGCAACTCTGAGATAATTGGTGTTTGTAGTAGTATTAGTGGGTATATTTCAAGTATTTTTAAGTGAACTATATAAAATTTCAAGTACTAGGGTTGAAGTACAATTGCTAAGTGTCCTTGCCTCTAAGTCTTGCCAGTAGCAATTTAAAACTAATATTAAATTTGTTCTTTATATTAATTGTATCTCGTAAAATAAGAATACTGTCTCAATTTAGTGGTAAGGATGAACCAAGATCCAGAGGACAGAACTGATCTCTGTTGCTTTCCTTTACCCTCCCAGGGGAAGTTAAAAAGGGGAATAAGGAAGAGAGACTTAGAGGTTGAAAGTAGAAACTAGAACAGGTTTAATAGAAAGAAGAAAAGACAGTAACATGTGGTGTAATAATGAAAAATATTCAAATATATACAAAACCAATTTCAGTGGTCTCTGATACAGGTGTCCAAGTCCCTTGTGGCAGACCTGACTTGGGAAAAGGGTTCAAGGCTCTTTCCAGCATCCAATGGATTCTGATCCCACTGAGCTGGAGACAAGGAGCAAGGGCCTCTTCCCAAGACCTTCAAGTGCAGCAAAGCAGCAAAAAAGAAGGGAGCAGGAACTAGGGGACTTCCCACTCTTCTGGCTTTTATACGAAATGGCAGGAAATGGGAGGAAATACTGACCTCTCTCTGTTCTGCCTGGGATCCCTCGGGATCCTAAAAAACACCCTTTCCTAGGTCCTCATATCAATACTATAAAATCAGTCTGTGTACCCTTCAAACCATAACAAATACCTTTAGGAATACCAGGATATAAAAAGAGTTGATTAAAACATACTAGGTGAGAATCTATAGGTGTTGAATTTAATGTCCATCATGATATGAAATACATTCTGTGCCTCTTATAAAGAAATAACAAAATCAGAAATAATATAGTAATAAAGAAATAGATGTGTTAATTTGATGCTTGAATTTTCTTTTTCAGCTGGAAAATTTGATTATAATGTAGACAGGGCAAGGAAAATAATATCAGTGAATGTATCCAACTTTCTTCAAGATCAAGATTATTATGTTCGCCTGTGCCACAAATGGTTTACCTGTGAAGACACAGGCACAGTTGCTGTGGTGAGTTACAGCTCAAAGCAGTTTGCTGAACTGATAGGGGATGAATTGTTACAGGAAATGCCCTTCTGTATCTTATTTAGCTTTATAAAAGTAGTTTACTGTCCTGAATTCATGGCCATCTTTTTCATTTCAGATAAAAGGGAAGGAATCTTTAAAATCTGTTTCTTTGAAATATTCTCAGCTACTACCTTGTCTTTGCATTGAGGTAAGTCTGGAATTTGGTATATACTTGTGTTTCTGATTAAAGTAATTTTATCTGGGATTTGTGCTAAGAAAGGAGGAAATATCTTTAGAGCAAGGCTCTAGATTTAGAAAATAGGGTACAATTTACATTAATTTATGGGAAGTGTTGTGTAAGATTAATTTGATTGATTTTTTACAAGCAATGAAAAGACAGAAAATTTAATCTGACTGAAGTTCAGCATAAAGTTTGATATAGTATTGCATGGGAAACTAAATGAGGAATTGAGGAAGCTGAGGGTGAGAACAAGATTTGCACGGTAGATGATACCTAGCCAGAGGGCTGTCTTGACTACTGTTGAATGTGGCTGTGCTAGTAGGAAGGTTATTTAAGGACCACACTTCGATCTATTCTTATATAAATATCTTTGATCGGTGACATGGACACAAAAGGGAGGGAATGTGTTAGTGAGATTGGCTGATAATGGAGTTGAGAGGTGTAACCAAAATTGAAGAGGGTTAGGATAACTGGAAGAGACTAGAGATCTTCATATGTAAAATAACTAAAGGAAGATGAAGTTTAATGTATGAAGTGTAAATTAATGCACTTATTCTAATAAGAATTCTCGTTGTAAGAGGCAAGTCCTCATTTAGAAATAATGGAGGAAATAGTGGAGGGAAACAGATCTGGCTGTAATAGTTCATCATAGGATGATTAAATTAACATGCTTACATGATGTAAATGTGAGCAAAGGTCTAGTGTCTTAGGTTATTCCAAGTTAACAGGAAACTATGGGTAAGGCCTTCTTTGAAATAATATAGGCAATTATATCCATATTCAAGAAAGGTTAGTTCAAATGGAAGATATAAATTAAAAATCTAGAGTGGTTGGGGAATGGAGCGTCTTATAAAGGAGATTGAAAGAACATGTTTTCACTAGCCTGGGAAAACACATAAAAAGAGAAAATAGGTTTGTTGTCTGAATATATTTCAGAAGAGTAATTTGAAAGGGGAAATAACAGCTTTTGTAAGCTAAACCCTTCTTGGCTCAAAGAATGAAGGAGGACAAACTTCATGGCATTATCATATTCAGGATTGGTACAAATTTATTTATTTTTTTGCCAACCTTAGAAATGAGATTTTAGAGTACCTTTCATAAAAAAAGAAGAAAAAGTCACTAAAGCAATTAAAAATGATCATGGTAAGACATAAATATACTACGTGACCTAGTTTGTCAGTCAGTATTGGGGTATGATTTACTTTGTGGACTAAGCTACCTAAATGTAGATGTCCAGATATAGATATCTACATTTGAATTAGATGTCCAAACTCTTATAGTCAGTGGAGTTCTAGTTAATGCAGTCAGTTACTCAACTGACCACATGCAGATGACTCTTTTGGGATGTGTTGGATGGCACTGTAGACTCCACTGGCTGCACTGGCTAGATCTTTATATTGTTACTGTAATAGTAATTTGAGTACTTTAGTTACACTGAGATATGTGTGTTGTAGGGAACTAAATCACATGCCTTAATAAGCTTTTTGAATCACAAGGTCTTTTCCAAGCCAAGCCAAGGATTTTTTTGGTTTTGTTCCACTTTGAAAGGCCAGAAGGGATGGCCTAAGTTTATCAGGTCCAATTCCTCTAGTGATCAAGAATGAAATAGATACTTAGTGCCAAACATATATGTAAAAGAAATATTTCCAAAGTTTTCTAATAAAGGGAGCATCTGTATCTTTGGTGGGAATGTTTTCTGTCACATTCTGTCTGAAATGTTAAAACTGGTGTTTCTGAGAATCTCTAGGTAATGGTCACTTCTTGTATTGCAGGGTTGGGTGGCAATTCCAGATGCAAGAAGGATACAACTTTGCCCATTTGAAAATGGCAAGTATTGTGTGATTACTCTTTATGCGAGTGATTTTCAGCAGCTCCAGTGAACGTTGCAATTTGAAATTAAACCAAGGTGAAAACTATACATTGTTAAACTTAAAAGAAATAATCAGATCGGTTTGTTATACTGTGGGTAGACAAAATAACTTACTTTCAGGCCAACTTGTTCACAAAGTTCATGCCAACGTAAACGCTAAATAACTTTCTAGTAATTTCCCACATATTCTTAAGTCACACAGAAACTGGCCAGAAGGAAGAAAAGACACTGAGGTCAGCTTTGAAATGCTGATGTGAGAAGAGGGCTTAAAGGAGGGATTTGAAGAAAGTGTCTGACACCCAGCATAAAGGAAGGAACAGCGTGCTGAAAAAGAAGACAGATCATTGCATATGGGACTTCCCATGCTTACCATACCAGCATTCACAGAGTGTTCCAGTAAAGTTAGAGTTTACTTACCAGCAGATTATTCACAGAGTGTTCCAGTAAAGTTAGAGTTTGGTCTAAGACGATGGCTGAAACAGATTGTCAAATTATATAGGTCTTTCATGAAAGTTTTACCAGGCAGATAGAAAAAAGTGTAGCCTGAAAAAGTGTTTTATTGTGTTAAGTCCAACGTAAGTAAAACAATATTTTCCCCCACCCCACTATTCTAAGAAGATATTCTAGTATTTGATTACAAAAAACAACAAACCAAGCCTGAGAGAGAATAAAAGCACCAACCCATAACAGAGCATCTGAACTCCATTAAACTGCATAGATATTTGCTGCAATCCTTTTACATTTTTGCAGGGCTGGTACATTTTTGTTAGAATGGAAGTAATTTCCTCTTTTGTTAGCCTAGCCTTCATATCTGATTTATTTTATTGTGGAAGAACATAGTGTTTATGACCCTACCATTCCTTTTTGGCAATGGACTGCAGTTTGACTAAATTAAAAGCTTTTTTTTTGCTTTTTTTTTTTCTATTGGTGCAATAAGCACTTGCAGGGGAGATGCTCAAGCCAGCTCAAGTAGCTATGTCTATGTGATGTAGTCACTTCTGGCTTCAAGGTCGTAAAAGCAAAGTCTATTTGCTATCTGCAGTATAAAGTCCTAACTTCTATTCTTATAGAATCATAGAATCATACAATGTATTTGGATGGAAGGGAGTATAAAAGTCATCTAGTGCAACTCCCAGCCAGTCCAACAGTCTTAGTAGCTGTTCAGCTTCAGGTTGGGTCTCATGGGGCATAGGTTGTTTTCTTCCAAATTTTCTCCTATCTTTACCTAATTCCTGTGTTTGAAATGGTTGTGCTTTGCAAATATGGAAAATGGGGGTCATGAATCCCATGAGCCCTTTCTTCCTTCTATATTCTGCTTCTTTTCTTCCCTTCCCACTGCAGTCATTCTCCTCTCCAATGCCATTGAATCAGGGCTTTGGGGAGAGCTGAAGCACAGGTTACAAAGATTCATGTATTCAGAGGAAGGGCCCCATATGGTTTGGCAACTGAAGCTCTTCAATAAGGAAGTGAATATGACAATGATACTTATAATTTACTCACCTACCTTACGGGAATCTCAAGCAGTTTTCCAGACTCTAGCACCCAGCTATTAAAGTATTTAAGGTGTTCTAACTATAGCCAAATTGATTTCTTTTTAAGTTTCTTTTTCCTAACTGACAACTCCGTTTTCTGGAATTTTCAAAGTAAATTTGGTCTGGTTTGTGTTTGGTTTTGGTTTTTTTTTTTTTGTTGTTGTTTTGGTTATGTTTTCTTTTGTTTTTAACATGAAAAAACATCTTTACTATGATGTAAATAAGTAGATGCCACAAAGGAGTAAAATAGAAGGAAACTCAGGTAATAAGTCAATGAGCAGACATGGAAACAACCTGAGAACTCTTAATTGTCATGCTATTCTCTTAACTATTAGCATTGTGCTTATATTGTATCTACATTATTATGGACTCCTACAACATTAAAAATATAGCTGTGAGAACTTTTGGGACCAAGGAATTTGCAGTCAGTATAAATATTCTCTAAATGTTAGCTTTATAGTACATGTTCATTTATTACAAACAGCACTTAAAAAAAACAATCAAAATTTCCAGCAGTGTTTTAAAAACAGAATAAAAACAGCCACTTCTTAGAAAATGTCAGTATTTTGATGTATACATATTGGGATACAAACTCAAGACAGCAAGAGGCTTGGCAGAATTTAAGGGTCTAGAAAATTTCTACTAGAAAATACTAAAAGGGTTTATTTCAGGACATTCCTGAGAGAAGCAATAACAATAGGAATTGTTGTTATGCCTGATGGGAGCTGAATTTGGACACCTGGTATTTTTACCATTTGATATGGAACGTGCTTCATTGCTTTGCTACATTTTCTGGTCATGTGTGTTGTTTTTTCACTCATCTTGAACATCCAACTGGCCATGTTTTCAGGTTTTTGCTTCACAAGTAGTTGCAGAAATATATTTTCCTCCTACTTCTGATGATTAGGAAAATGTAAAACTTTCCAAATTACTTCTTGAAGTATAAACTGAAATATCAGTTTGAATTTCATGCAGAGAATTCTCTTATCCACATGCAGCTAAATGGAAAACAAAGTCAGTACAAAGTGACTAATTTGACCAATCAAATAAATAAGAGAGCTTTTATTTTATTATAGTGCCTATTTAAAAGATCCCAAAATATTTGTTGGCTAGGTCTCAAATTATGGTATGCCCAGTATAGAAAGAAGACATATACATAGAAAGGAGATTTATATAAATGCTGTAGAAAAATTATTTATTGTGAATTTCTTTCACACCTGTCTTTACTCTTTGAGTTCTTGATATGCAGGTAAAGGCAAATCCTCTTCATCTTCTTACATACACGTTGTGTGCATGTAAGTCCTAAATAAGACACAGAATCTGTCTCTAATGCCATGACCTCTAATCACTAACATATGGATTCATCCCAGTTTACCATACACAGTTAACTGGAAGTCCTTGGCTAGGAATTTACTTCCATTGCCCTCTTCCTGTGACTGATGGGCCCAGAATGCACTTCCAGAAGCTTGTGCAGCCTACTTAAAAGCTGAGGCATCATTCCCTGGTAATGCCCAACTATCACCGTGGTGGGAGACTAAGCTCTCAGGTTGAGAACCTCTGGTAAATGCCAACACTTTGGTGGGATGAATTCAAGTTTTAGATGATTACAGTGTGAAATACTGCATTTCTGATTGGTGAAAAGGTCAAGGAAAGGGAAAAGCAATGCTTTTGGTTTTAAGCACGTGTCATTTATGAACAATTTTGATTCATTTTTAGACCTCTTGAATAATGTTTTCACTCTTTGTGCACAGATACGAAGGTGCTATGGGATAATATTGTTTATAACCCAGCGACACAAACTCTAGCGTGGGAGCCAGCCTGTCCTGTGCTTGTCATGGTTAACCTATGCAGGCTAATGAAGTCTAACGACCACTGTGAAGATATACAAAACTCTTCCAAAAATTCTCCTGAGAAAGTAAGAGCTATGCAGATTTATTCTAACTGTGAGACTGAAGGCCATGGCCAAAGGCATAACGTTAAAAGCTAGATGTTGGAATTTGAGTAGCTGTAAATTCCTCTCTTCTTTTCCGATACTTAAAACTATTCATAATTGCAGCCTGTTCTTGTACACTAACCACATGATTTATTCAAAGAGCTTACTGACTCACTGTTAAGAAATATAAAGTGGAGATGACTGTTAGGCTAGTAATGTTTGCTAAATTCTTTGGGCTAAATAGGGTCTGCTTTTCATTTATAGTAAAGGTGTGATTCATCTGCCCGGACTTTGCTGTCTAAAATATAGGTGTTCAAGCCTAAGCTATTCACATCAGATTCCCTTTAAAGTAAATAAGTGAAACTGATGTATTGAGAGGACAACTCTTCTCATCTGAAGACAGGTATATAAGAAAGGTTGGAAGGATTTTCTCTGAAGACATCTCTTTCTTTTCACTGAATATCATAAAAGCCTGTTGTGATTAGACCAGTTTTGGGTATTTAACATTTAAACACCTAAATATAAGTGAGATGAAGGTAAATCTCTTTAAAACTTACTGGCCCGATGTCTTGAAGTTGTGGGTGTTGAAATATTCGGTTCCTCAGTTCTTTCTGCACTTTTGTTCTAAAGTCAAAAAGCATTTTCATTGCATGTATCTTGAACTGCTAATACTTCAACCTGAAGTGTCATGGTGCTGCAGGCACTGCATTTATGAGGTTGGTTATAATTCTGGCTTTCATCCTAAAAGTAGGTTTCAGGCTTTCCTGAATGTGGAAATCAAGGTAGCATCTGAAAAGGCAAATAAGATAAAATACAAATTCTTAATTTTTGTAACTTTATGAGTATTATTCTAATGACATGACTTGTGTGGGACTGACTCAAGACTGTTGAATGATTTTTAATTAGGGACTCCTGTCCAAGTGTTTAGTGCTTGTTCAGTTTCATGATTTTATGGGTTTCAACAGAACTTTGATTTTGCAAAACACCAAATATTTAATTTTATACATGTGAGTGTTCCCTGTTGGATTAATAATCTGCTGACAATAAGCACAACTCATTGCTTGCAGGAAAAAAAAAAAAAAGAAAAAGAAAAACAAAGAAAGCCTAAAATGAGGTTTGACTCGTAATGGTTGTGTTTATTATCCAGAACACAAGCCAAGGTTAATCTATTACAGATGATGAATCTGTACACCATGAATCTTCTCTTTTTTTCCTATTTAATTCTAAAAAGTCTTATGCTGAATTTGGTCAATCTCTTGTCTTATCTTGTCTAAAGAACATGTCTATAGTGTGCTGGAAACAACTGCGGAGGTTCCTCACATAGTAGCAGCACCCCCAGTAAATCCAGACAGTGCTACATACTCTTGTACCACACACACATGCCAGCTTAGACCCCAAACCTACCACAACTCTTGTCTCTAATTAGGATGAGGATTTCTCTGTTGATGATAATGCTATCTCTGTATCTGAGAGGACTACAGAGCTATCTTCTGTTATCCTATTGTAGACACACCTGAGGATATCCATTATGTTCTCAAAAAAGCTACAGGAAAGATGGGTCACTGTGGTGATGATGCCACATGTTGTCTGTAGGTTCCATTGTGCTCAGTCACTTGGGAAAATGGTGTTTATTTAAGTAAGAACACCTACATGGGTAGTAATTGTTTACATGAGACAAGGCTTTTTATGGTGAAGCCCTTGGAGGGTAAACAATTGTTAATCAAGTCAGCAACATTTTGTAGGTCACTTAAGTGGATGTCTAAAATTCAGTTTATGTTTAAATCTTTTCTGGGATAGGGATATGGAAAATAGAAAAATTTCTTAACTGAAGATGGAACAACACTTTTGGGTGTATGTTTAAATGTTCTGCAGAGTTGTTGTTGAATGGTAAATAATGGACTGAAACAAGATGAATGTGTAATTAGAATTTTGCACATGAGCCACCACAGAACCAATTAATTTAGCTCTAATGGGTGAGACAGACTATAAAAAAATGCTACATATTACAGAAAAATGGCAAATTATTTGGTAATCCAAAGTAGCAGTTGTTTCCATTATTCTTGTTTTATGTGATTTTTTTAAATGGGATGTTTATAAAGTAAACAAACCAGGTCCTTTCTTAGTAATCAAACCATGAAAATTTTGGGGAATTAACTTTGTGAAACTAGTTAATGAAACTAGCTAATACTGAGTGCTGTTTTTTCAAACAGGTTAAATATTCTCGTGTGGACACTCACCCAAGACTTTGCATGAAGGTAAAGGGATTTCTTTGTAAAAAACCTATTAGCTGCCCTCTTTATGTCAGCTCTAAAAACGACTTGCTAATGTTCTTTGGGAACAATATTTTGTTTCATAGTTCTGTTGAATGGGAAGTAAGAATGAAGGAAATGTCAAAGATTAGATTAAAAGAAAATTTTTTGAAAGTGCAAACAGGAATGATAGAAATTACATGGGTCAGACTGTGCCCTCTGTTTTCTCTGCCTAAGAAAACCAGGACAATGCAAACTCTGGAGCATGCACTAGGCTTAACTTATGAAGTTTTTAATTAAAAAAATAGTATCTACACTACATTTACTGGAGTACATTTTATTATTCTAATTGAGAAAAGAATGCCACATATGGTTAATATAGGCCTATCATTGTTTTATTTTGGATTACTTTCATGTTAGTGGAAATACATGTTTCTGAAAATATGCATGTGCATAAATATCTGAAGAACTGAGGGACCTAATTTAAATGAAGGGCTGGAAGATACCACAGACCAGCAAAGCTGTCAAATTCACCTTTTGCAACTTTCTGAAATGCACTGATCATCTCTAGTTGAATCTGTAACCACTGGCAGAAATTGAAAAATCAATTTTCCTAACAAATTTCTCTGCTTTCAGTTTACAACAAAGCAAGGGTCTTGGGTTAAATGTCCATTTGCTAATGGAGAATTTCCAGGTAAATATTATCTTTTAATTACAGAACATTAAATTGTGAAAATATTTAAGTCTCTCACTGTACATGAGCCTTCTCCAGTAAGCAAGTGAAAGTGTACACATCACTGTAGCTTGTAAACTATGGCAAAGAGATTTTTCAGCTTGCTACTTCTATGTATTCCCAGTAGATCAGGTGTTTATAAGTATAAAAAGTAACTTGTGGGAATCAAAATAATTACTTGCATATCATTTGATGGTACTTGACTAATTAAAAGGCATTTAGTTTAAATACAACAACTTAGAATATAGTATATGATCCTTGTACATCTAAAAGTAAGTTTTCCCCCCTAACATCAGCTTGGAAAATGAGAACTGCTGCAGTTGGAGAACAAATAGAAGTTTTCTTCACATCCCAAACCAAGGCACAGTTCTCAGTGCTGGTGTGTAACAGGACGCAGCTGGCCTCGTGTGAATCTGTTGGGATGAACCATTCAGTCTCTGTGGTTTGTATATGTTATTTCTTAAGTCTTGTAAGACTTTTAAACACATTTAACTGCATTCATTTATTATTCCATTTATCACTCTGCAGCTTGAAAGCATTAATAAACCTATGCATATAGATATGGGAACAATTACTGGAATATTTTTAAAGTTTAGTTGTAGTTCTAATTCTGATCTCACATTGAAGCAAGAAATAAATAAGGATCCTGAAGTCAAATGAGTTACATCAAATGAAGTGGCTATTGAGTGGATCCTTAATATTTCTTAATATAATTTTTGTGGTTTAGTATTTCTCTGTTCTGGTGACATTCTCTTATGTATATAGCAATATATATGTATATATATATATATATGTATATATATATGTTGCTGATACAGCTGACCTGAACAAATCTCACATCATGAAATGTAAGACTTGGGGCATAAAATCCATTATGATCTTGAGACACACTTACAGCTGCCTACACAAACTCAATACACAAAAGAAGGTAAGTTTTTAGCCAAATTAACTTTTTGAGATGGTCTACTGTGTGACTACACAACTGCTTCTTCCAGCAAAGTGAGGGAGAGAGGGAAAAGATTATGGGAGGGTGAGATTTGATTCAGACAGGAGCTGTTCAGGAAATAGGAACCTCTTACTCTTCTGCAACTAAGCCTCTATCTCAAACATTTTCTGGGCAGCACCATGGCTTGCCCTTGCCCTTCAGCCTTGGTTACCAGAGTTTCTTGGTTGGCCTGACCTGTGATCTACTGAAAGCTACACCTGGAAAGTGGGGCCAAAGAGCAGAGTGGCCACAGCTTTACTTTTCAAATAGGAAGATATTAGTAGCATAGGTCCTAAGAGCTTCTAGGACCAGCGCGCTGAAAGATACTGTGCTGGTTCAGCAGGCAGCTCCTCAGTAGTCCTGTGTCCACCCTGAAACGTGTGCTCCAGCTTTCTGCTCCACTGACCAGGAATATGAGATGTTATATGATAGATTTTGAGAAAGCTGGGAAATCCAGATGTGATTTCTATTGTTATTCCAGTCTGTGCCCTTTCACTTCACTCAGGTGTAGGGGGATGTGCTTTGGAAGACACAAGCATGCTGTAGCTCCTACATATGTTCTCTTTTTAGGATATATTGCAGCTGTACTAATTTCTTTGCCACTGCACACAGGCATATGCTGCATCTGACTAAAGTACCTCTGATGTTTTCAGTGTGCAGGATAAACATATCAGGGGGTAGCTGACAAGCTATTAGCTATGAATAAAGACTTAAAGGAGAGGAAACTCAAAGCTGAATTTATTTTCTAATGAATCAGATTAGGTCTTTTTTACATTTCTGGTGCTGAATGTAACAGAGCAGCTGTTAAAGGCAGAGTTTCCCAGCTCAGCTTTGCTGGTCAAGCTATCAAGCATCTCTCCTAATGGGCCAAGATATCTGGGGAAATGCTGTATTACTGGCAGAGGTGGGGATCTGTAAGGCAGGACAGTTGTCAAACACTGTGTTCAGTGAACACTTAACAGTGGCACTTCTCTTCAACAGGTGTATTTCACATGAAATCTGTGGAGTTTGGGCTTTCTGCTTTTAAAGGTTCCCTGTGTGAATTGCTGAGTGAAAAGGGTAGTGGTGGAGCACCAATAAATCACAGCTAAGCGTTGAGGTCTGTGTTTCATAAAGGGCACTGATGCATTTTAAAATGCTGTTTTCTTCCATCCAGTAGAAAGCTGTTATGTCAGAATGGGAGCCCACATAATTTTCATACAGTTCCTGTCTCAACACTGTGAGCAACATACACAACATTTTTATCATGACTTAACTCTGTGTTCCCAGAAACCAATGTTCATTCTCTACCTACTAGCCCAGTTCAGTCATGCTCAAAAAAGAACATATTCACCTAATTTGCCCCAGATTATTTTAGAAGTTTGCCACACTAAAGAGAGCAGTGTAGGATTCATAGCTATTGGTGAGGTACGTAACATTATTTTGAGGACAAACCACAAAAAATTAAAATACTAAGTGTCAGAACAGTCATTTAGGACAACTTCACCCTAAGGCTGAACTTGTTCTCAGCAAACAATGTGATGAGAAACACAGAACTGTAAAGAAACAGTCGTTGCTTCAACTCATGTACACCAGGAAAAAAAGTGAAGATGCTCACTTCATAATGGGCTGTAAGCAGCCATGGTGAGGAAGGTGTCCTGCTTTATGATGCTTCATAAAATGCAGGAACATTACCCTTGTTCCTGTGCTGCCCAAATTGTGCTTGGCAAAACTACACCAGCTGCTTATGGTCATTCATCCGGGGATGTTTCTGAAAATATATAACCTTCCATAATGAATATATACTCTATTAATTTTCTGACACAGCAAAACATGTGGCATTGTTAGCAAATGAACCAAAGAGCTGGAGAGACACAGTGAATTTTCATTGTTCCAGGGTATGGAAAAGAATAATTTTCATTATTTTTCTTTTTCATTAGGGAGATTCTGTAACAATCACTATGACACAGGAAATGTGTGGGTCAACAATTTGCATTCAGGTATGTGTCTTGATTTTGCCAGGTACTTTGTACACAATAAGCAAATCATACATAAAACCAAACCCACAGCAGGCACTCTCACTGCTTTCTCCTCCCAGCCAAATCTGATTACTGTGCAAACACAGTTGGCAAAGAGCATTTTTTTACATCTTGATGTGCTGCCTCTTGTTGAGATGACATTAATTAATGGAGAAGTTGCTCTCCATGATCTTGCTCCTTTGTCAATGACAGATAAAGGGATATCATCAGGAAATTGTTAATCCTGTCCTTATACATTGCTTTGTAATGAAACCTTCCAAGGTATCAAAAGATCCAAGTAAATAATAGATGAATTTTTCAAAAATTGCCATTAGCTGGGAAAGGTTAGGCACATAGCAAACAGTGCATTGTATGCTAGAACTTATGCTCCTGAAAGCAGAGCTTAGCAAATTATTTCTGACATTTTTGCACACTATTTCTGTGGCTGAACTTTAATAAGACAACATTAACAGAAAAGGAGCGTGCAGCTGATAGGTTTATTCCTCTCTGGAATTAATGTTCTCACTAGACACCAGGACAAGAGAGACTGACAGCAACGGCTGTGAGGCTTCAGCAGCTGCTCTGGAAGAACCTTGTCAGCCTCACTCTCTGCTGCCAGGAAGAAAGGGCAAGATGAAAGTGATATTGACAAGAGCCTTCTGGATGATGAGAGTTTTTCTTACCCTAGTGGAAAACCAGATTTGGTGGTGGAATTGATGTTTTCCTGCATAAATTGTTTTTTTTGCAAATTAGACATTATCTGTCCAAATACAGTTCTCCCACCTCAACTCCTGCCCCAATCTGATTCGCTTTATGATTTAAAAACCTGAAAGTGATTGCAACTAAATAAATATACACAAGAACAGCAGTATCATATCCATTTATTTAAAAACAGATTGAAAAATGCAGTCACTGGAGCAAGCTAATAAAACAATCACACTTTGTCAACATAAGTTTTTATTTCCAATTCTGCTGAAAGGGAAATAAGACTAATCCTTTGTTTTTACTAGGGCTGGAGGACAGATGTAGATTATTCAGTTCCACTACAGATCTGTGATATCCACTGTGGTAAGTATGAATGAAAAGGAGAATTAGGTCTTGATTGTGTGGAAGAGAGCATCTCAGGTGAAGTGTGTTTTCACTGGAAACTGAGGTGGGAATCACCTGACTGAATATGGATATCTGCACGTGAGCTAGATATGCTCAGCTTCCTTTTTATAGACAATGGACTCATACCTCAACTAGCTTTTAATTAGCTACTGCAAGGGCAATTTGTGTGGCTGTTTTCTCTGCTTCCTGAGTGAATTTTCCATCCTGTGCCAAGTTCTGCATGCCACACCTACCCTTACCTTGCTGCCAGTACATGAGGTAAGTAGTTCAAAACAATCCTTGGCAAGTAGGCACACAGTTCTTCCTTATTATGATTTATGGTACACCCAAATACACTCATGGAGTCAGAATATTCAAAAATCTCCAAGACCTGGAAGTAAGGAGTTGAAGTTGGTGAGTTCAGAGTGAACTAAGGCTGTGGGGCCTACAGTGAAGAGTGCAAGAGTGCATAGTTTAGAACTAAAAAGTCTAAAAGGAGCCAAACTGTGGGAAGGCAAATCTGAGCATTACCAAAAACACATCCCCAAACACACCCAAGGAAACGATGTCACCTCCCTGTTCATTGTAAGCATAGTGATTCCTGTGACAGATTTTCTTTGTTGCCTAAAAATACCTGTCATTTAACTGCAGCTTCAGATTTCGAAGGCTAACACTAAAAAGGAGGGAGTTTGAATTTGTAGTCTAAATGTAGTTCTCTGTACAAGCACTTGCATAATGCTAGTTCAGGTTTCTTCTCTGCTTAAAAACTTAAACCCACTCAGGGTGAATCAATTAACTAATGTTGGGATTAATGTAGTCTGGATGCATTTTCCTTATTCATATTTTCCTTTTAACCAGTGTGAAGGGTATGACAAAAGCATGTAAAATAATTAAAGGCTCCAGAGATGGCAGTTTGGAAATTCCCCTCTGCCTTATAGCAGGAGAGAATGTCTCTGTGTATTAAATGAAAACAGTGGAACACCAAAAACTGAGTAGAGAACTTTTTGGGCACAAGTTTTTGTTCTGATCAAGAATTTGTGGTGATTCAGAAAAAAATCTAAGGACTACACATATGTAAAGAATATCAGAACTGTAATACCTGATTGCTATGTATGTTATATAGAGGATATTAACCTCATGCTTTATGGATTCTGCAATATTTTATATTTTTAGGGTAATGCAGTCTGTATTAGTGAGTGAATAATTCTTTTTCTGCCAGCTGTCCAGGAGGAGGTTCCCAAAGCCTCCCTCTGATGCAGATGGTAGCAGTTAGTGTCAGAGATAGGACAGTGAACTTGATGGGTCCGACTCACTGCTGTAATTCCTGTGTTCTTAATGACTCACCAGGAGCCATCAACTGCTTGTCATTTGGAAGATTCTGAGTGTAACAGTAAAAGCATTTTCTAAGGGCTTCTGCATTCTTCAGTGCTTATTTTCTATAAGAAAATTATTTTCTCAAGCATTAGCTTTTCAAAATCAGGAGATAATGAAATTTGAGGCAATGTCACCAAGGGTGATAATTCTTACACTGGGATTCTATTGTGTCTGGACCTAAGATGTTTAAGAAAAAAACAACCCAGATAAAGGTGAAGAGAATATTATACCTAAAATATGTCCATAAGTAGTGACAACAAAAAGTCAAAGTAAATAACAAATAATCTTATAAAGGCATAGTGAAAATAGTAAAAATATTCACTGCATACAACTTTGTGAAATAGAAATTCACATAAAATATCACTGCTAAAGATGCCAGGCAGCGTCAGTGCATCCTGCCCTCCTTTGCCCTCTTTTCTGGATTCTGTTTAATGTAGCAAAACTTTTTGAGACATTATTTTACCCATTAAAAAATAAACTTATCCATTTTGAATGAAATAATAACCCAAATCAGTTGATGTGAGAATAAAGATATGAACCATAATGAAGACAAAGTGGCAACCTGCATCTGAACTTGTTTCTTCAGGTTTCCGTGGTCAGACATACAGTGATGGAAGCCCAGCGAAGGCCATGACACACAGGTATCCACCTAATGTATGGTTTAAATCATCTTTGAGAGTTGGTAGAGTTGTTAATCCTGAAAACATATCATTGGTCTCTCTGAAGAACAGAAGCGATGACTGAGGGAAGGTTGTACTAGCCAGCAGGAATACCAGGTTCCTATCTCTCCCCTCTCCTTGTCACTACTGAAGACACCTCTTGCTTCTGTGCTCTCTCCTCTTGCTCTCTCTCTATTGCACCACAGTGCAGTCTGTCATCAGAGGCCTTCCTGCCAGAGAAAGAGCACAAAGGAAGTCAAATAACCAGATGTAGTGAGAAGGTTGTAAAGTAACAAGACAACCTTCAAGAACCCTGGAACAATCTTAGATTTGCTGAGCATGACATTCACATTATTAGCACCTGACTCCTGCTTTCTCCCTGACATTTGCAGGCAGATCAGTCCCCTCTGTCCTCTCACTCATCAATAGTGTCTGCTCAGCAGTTCCAGTGTTTCTTTTCATTCCCACAACCCTTTGCAAAACACTTATTCCCAGGTTATGAACAAATCAGTAATTAATACAGCCCATGGATGTATGATTTGGTAGAGCCTGAGCTCTTAAATAAACCTCTTCCTTTAAGGATATCCTTTCAGAGGCAAGCTAAGACAGTGGAAGCACCCTAGAACTTCAGGGAAAGGAGAGAGGCTCTGAAAAGCCCTTGTTCAAAGATGGGGACAATATGCATCTTTCCAGAGGATTTAGAAGTTATGTGATTGAGAAGGGGCTACCATATTTGCTTTGAGGCAGTCTTTGGATTTTCTCTTGTCAGAAGATACCATTCAGTATAAAATACCTTGGCTTTGTTCATTTCTCCATGTAAGTGCTGATTGGACTCTAACAGTCAAGTTCACAAGGTGTAGACAAATGGTTAGACTTGTTGTTTAACTCCAGCTACATATTAAATGCAGTTAACTCCCTCGCACTTCAGAGAAAAAAAAGCCAATATTTTTTCCTCTTCTGTTTTTCCCCTAGAATGAAGAGTGTGCATTCCTTGCATTGAATTTATCAACACATTTTCAAGGTCCTTCGTAACTTGTATTTTGGTGTAACTTGTAAATCTTGTCTAACTGGTCATCTCTAATGTTAGTAGTTTATTCTAATTACTACGAGATTATTCTCATGAGTGAAGAATTTAGCAAGTCTATTCTAACACGTCCAAAAGAAGCTGGATTATGATTCCTCATTTCCCATCATTTCAAAAGAAAAAATATCTCAGATCACTTGGTTAGAGAATGTGGTCCACATTTTCCTTCTAAATTAATGTTTTATATATAATATGCTATAAGTGAGTACTTTCATGGTACCTTGTCTACCCATAGAACAATTATTTAATATTTTATTATTTGTAACCTTCATTTTTAAACCATATGCAAAAGTTTTTGAGAAATGAAGAATGGAGGAAGTTTTCTCAGCTTTGTTACATTATCCTTCTTTGTAATTTTCTTTCTTTTCTGATGCCATCCTTATGATCTCATCAAGACAGACCACATTCCTTAAATATATCTAACAGCTACTTTCTGAGTTTTCATTTTTATATGACTTAGAAATAACTTTCCTATTTGTCTGAGCAGGTACATTTCTTTGGTCTGATAGCTATTTAAAACTGTGATGTGGAAATACAGCCTAGAAGGAAACAGTGTTTTGGAAAGAATGGAAGTATTTTTTTCCCATTATATCAGTATTTATACTCAATTGTTGAGAATAATACTACAGACTGTACTGATTATCAAACATTTGGCCTTTATTTCACTGAATACTCCTGTCAAACATCCTTACTTTCTGTTGTGCAACAAGGAAATAAAGTCAACTAAACAATGATTAATAGCAAATCCTGGAACCATGTGAGTTGCTCAAGTGGAATCAGGAATATGGGTGGGGAGTGAGGGTCTGGAACAAGAAGTTGATCAATAAAAATGTTTTCCATCTGAATATGGTTTTTTTTATTTCAAGACTTTCAAAGAGCAATTGACGAGAGAAAAAATAATGTATCTGCTGTGCTGAGACAGAAGGGTTTTGAGGTGCCCTGAAGAGGACAAATTCTGCTTGGTTCCTTTGATATCAAAGCTTAATTGTGTAGACCATACATCTGTTAGATATATGCTTATTCCAAGCAATTCTACAGCTCCAAATGCAGAGGCAACAAGACAGCCTTCCTAAAGCATCTAGTTGCTTGCTTTGGCTGTGAAATCGAATCACTGATCTATTCAGACATCTGCTTTTCCTATAATACTCTCCGGAATGCAGTCAGAAGCAAGACATTCAGCCATTCAACTGAGAGCACACCATAACACCACCCTCTTCACTTCCCTCCAGTGGAAAAGTCTTTTCTTTAGGAAAGTTTGATTTGTACAGTGTGCTTTTTATTGCAGAAAGGTCGTAAAATCATCTGTTTGTAAATGTCAGACTGAAAATGAATTAAAATTATAAAGGTGTGGCAGGATCTGAAAATGTAAGTGTAGCAAAGACAAAATACCACCTCCAATGACAAGTTTGTATGAGGTCCTGAAGCAACAGCAGCTGTACTGAAGATGAATGCTTTCAATGTCTGATGGGTTGACCTTGGCTGAATGCCAGGTGCCACCAAAGCTGCTCTGTCACTCCTCTCCTCAGCTGGGCAGGAGAGAGAAAAAATAAAGAAAGGCCGCTGGGTCCAGGTAAGGACAGAGAGATCACTCAGCAGTCTCTGTCATGGGCAAAACAGACTCAGCTTGGGGAAAATTAATGTAACTTATTAGCAATTAAATCAGAGCACCATAATGAGAAATAAAACCGTATCTTCAAACACCTTCCTCCCACCCCTCCCTTCTTCATGGGTTCAGATTCACTCCCAATTTTCTCTGTCTCCTGCCTTGCAGCAGTGCAGGGAGATGGGGAATGTGGGTTGTCATCAGTTCATCACATTTTGTCTGCTGCTTTGTCCTCCTCACACTCTTCCCCTGCTCCAGTGTGTGGTCCTTCCCATGGCAGACAGTCCTCCATGAACTTCTCCAAAGAGTCCTTCTCTGGCTGCAGTTTTTCACAAACTGCTCCAGTGTGCATCCTTTCCATGGAGTGCAGTCCTTCAGGAACACGCTGATCCAGAGTAGGTCCTGCACAGCAGGTTCACAAGTCCTGCCAGCAAACTTGCTCCATGGGCTCGTCTCCACAGGTCCTGCCAGGAGCCTGCTCCAGCTCAGGCTTCCCACAGAGTCACAGCCACCTCCATGTGCTGCAGGTGGATATCTGATCCACTGTAGACCTAATGGGTTGGAGTGGGGCAGCCTGGCTCACTATGGTCTTCACTAGCAGGCTGCAGGGGAATCTCTGCTCCTGCTCATGGAGCACCTCTTCCCCCTCCTTTTTCATTGACCTTGGTGTCTTCAGAGTTGTTGCTCTCACATATTCTCACTTCTCTCTCCAGCTCCAGTTATCCAGGTGTTTGGGTTTTTAAACCACCCCACCCTCCCACACCTCCCATATAATTATGTTATCTCGGAGGAGCTACCAGCATTGCTGATGGGCTCAGCCTTGGCCAGCAATGGGCCTGTCTTGGAGCCGGCTGGCATCGGCTCTGTTAGACATAGGGGGAATCTTCTGGAAGCTCTTCAAAGAAGCCACCTCTGTAGCCCCCCCACTACCAAAACCTTTCCACACAAACCCCATACACAATGATAAGATCCCGTTTTAGCTGCAGAGACACAATCTCTTGCAGTGTATCTTCTCTTGTTGGCTGCAGCTATCAAAATACCAAAGTGAACGTGACCAACCATGGTCCTGATCACCCTGGTACTGTTTTACAGGAAAGCTTGAATAATGAACATAGCAGACATTTAACTTATATTAACTGTCTAAGAGTAAAGTGTTTATTCAAAGGGAATAGTCTAGGCTCTCATGATGGCCACTGCAGAGAGACAGGTACTTCCCAAGAGTATTCCATTCTGCTTGAATACTTGTTTTAGAGGGAGCCTAGACTACTTAGCCTAAATGCTTACCATTAATACATTCCATTGGGTGGCACGTCTTAATAGCATTTCCATGATTTGGCTCAGGACTGAGCAGTGCTTTCATGTAATGAGAAAACTGCTGGTAGCTTTTCTGATTGATTCCCAGACTGATCTTTAATAGTTCTGTTTCTAATACCCTACTTCAGATAAACATTGTCTCTTCTGACTACAAAATTCCTGCTTCACCTGAGACCAGCTCTTCCCACTCTCTCATATAGTTACTGGACCACCCTATGTAATGCTCTGAAAGGAGTTCCACTCAGGTGATGCCTTTTCTAGAGAAGTTAGAGTTCTGCATTACTAAGCTATGAAGCACTACTGTAGCATTACAGCTGCAAAAATATAGTGTTTGTTTTATTTTATTTTTTTTTCGTTTTCATGAGGCATTTTAAACATCAGTAGGTCAATTCTGAAAGAGGAAGGTATGAGAATCTTTCCCAAGTCTAAAAGTAATAATTTCACTCTGATGACCACTGATTTTTTTTCTTTTTCTCAGACAAACTATGTAATGATTTTGCAATATGGGCCAACACACAAGTAAATGTGCTGTAATAACAGTCAAATGCAAAAATCCCCTACATGACTGCCCATAGACTTGTCTAATTCTGCAGAGCCTTCACTCTTTTGTTAAAGGAAATTCCCTTCTTGCTTATTGTGGGCCTAGTCCAATTACTGTATTTTGAGACAACCCACAGTTATTAGGTTCTCATTTCATATGTACATTCTTACTATTGTCACTGTTATTACTATGTCCCAATTCTTCCAAGATAATAGCATGTATCAGCATATAGTTGAGGTACAGCAAAAGCACTGAGAGATGTTTTCAGTTGTGTCTAGTGCTTGAACAAACAAACCTGAAACTAACTTTTAGCTATGCATAAATTAATGTAGTTTACCTCTACTTACTTAAAGATTTATTTTTACTTGCCACACCCACCCTGGGTCTACTGAGGGAAACCAGACAGATGCTGCTGCAGTATTTTGGATGTCTGTGTTTGCAGCAATGGATACATTTCCTTGATAGCAAGTTATAGTTGAGTGGCCTGCTCGAATTGCCACATCCTAACAAGTAGCTGTGTATCCACTAAGCCATAAAATCAGCCACAGAAGATCTAGTCCAGTGCTGTGATAGCAGTGTTCTGACTCATCTCTTTTCTGGACTTCTGCATAAAATACTTCAGAGAAATAAATGGGAAGAGAAATAATTACTACTTTTGTGGGGTTAGTTCACTTCCTGTACTAGTAAGTCAGGCATACGTGTGCCGGCAGAAGGGAGGTAGCCCAGCTATAAGGGCATCAAAACAGTGTTGGTCCTGTTAGTCATTAGACAGCAGATTGAATTATAATGTAACACTGCAACCTGACCACATGCCTCTGCTTGGCAAACAGAAGAAAATGTATTTGTTTCTGTGAAAAGTTGCAATGATCAAATTCCTGTTGTTCATATCCTGTAACAGCTGGCCTTAAAACATGGTGACTGTCTCATATCCCTTTCAAGTTTTTTATTGTACAGAAACATAATTCCTAGATTAAGAAAACCATTCCTCCCTCATATCCAGAAAGACCTTTAGTGCAAACATCTAACACTGCTGTGTTTAGTGTGGTCCTGGAAAAAGTCCAGTAGCAACTGTGGGAGCTATTGCTCCCATTCCTCTTCTGTTTTTCTATGGCTCAAAGCCACTGTCAGTGTCACTGGCTCACATTTTGCAGGAATAGGCCCTTTTATGTGGCCACAAATGCCACTTTAAAAAAATTTAACTACATGAGTAAGGGTCAGTTCCTGTATTGGATTCACAAGAACTCTAGAATTTATGAACCATCAGCATCAAGAACGATCTTATCTACTCTCCATCTTAAATTGGACCAAATGACTCTTAATATATATTGCTGATACTATAAAAGCAGGACAGTTTATCTACTAAAAAGCAGATAGATAATCGTTTCTCTAGGCGATGTTTTTCAACACGAGGAACTCACAAGATATTTTTCCTGCCATTGACTACATGAAACCTAAACC